CAAACTGTTCGAGTTGGATTTAAAAATTGATCATTGAGGAGGCTCTGCTGGTCTGATATTGACAGAACGACCACCATCACACTGGATAGCCAAACTCCCTCCCTCATTATCTTTCTATGACCTGCGCACAAGAAAACCAAAAGAGATTAAACGCATCAAAGAAACCGTCAACTGTAACACGTGTATTGATTGGTTCTGTAGTTCGACATCACCTGTTTTTTGTGTTGTTATTAAATCACGTGATTGCAAAGTGTCTGAAACACAACACTAGTCAGGTTAATTCATCCCCTTGATGTTTTCACACAGGTTTCTGAAGTACCAAACTGTCAAACTATTTACCAATTTTTTCGGGTAGAGACGGTATCCTGTAGTAGTTGTCGTTTTTTGTTTCGTATCTTGTTGCATACGAACAAACAACCGAATGATCAACAGGCACGTACGTTGCTTGTTAACCGATGACGTTTTGTTGCCGTTGTATCCACTGACTTTGTCCCGTGGATTCCGATAAAGCAATTGGCGAAGCCAGAGGACAACAGTCACCAGCACGTGACAAACAACAGTTGGGTCGTATTGTTGTGAGGTACTACTCACATTTGTAAGTAGTACGCAGAAAGATGCGTTTGGTGGTTTTTTAGGGATCAAAAATAAATAATACTTATAGAGCGAAATGATAACTAAGGCCTTTTTCATTGATTATTCTCTGTGCTACCGGACATTGTGATGACGTGTTTAAAATGAGATATCTTGTTATGTTTATACGGCAAATTATCAATACCTTAACTCCGGTTCGCGATAAACAATTCTCTGCGAGCGAGCACCGGTCTTCTGGAATTATNGAATTATAGCAGTATGACGTCCATGTCTATCTTACGACCTTTGTTAGATTTTCTAACGGACTGTATCAAGCCCCTAATCGGTGCCAAAGTTGACCTCTCTCCCTTCACAAACGTGCTCAAAACAGGCAGCCCACCTAGGGTCATATTTTGAGATGAATTCATCACGCACACGCGCACACACACACACAGTGCCCGAATAAGCGAATCTCATTCAATGACACAATCTTGCAATGTGGGAGAATATTTCAAATACTCTAAAAAATATGAACAGTTTAGGTAAAGAAATCCTGACGAAATCGCCACAGAAAAATGTGATCGATTTGGGGTACAGAACAGTGTTTAAATTGGTCGAATGAAAAGAAATGATTTTCAAGACATAATCACATTTGACATTATCGAAAGGATTTAAAACCAACGGTGATTGATTTTTTGTAGGTACTCTACTGTAGTGCTTGATCACGGAAGCATGAATCACGAGGGAGGTCGGACGAGCGGGATTAAAAAATACCAATGAACTAGATCTCTGGGACGCGAGAAACAAAGTTTGTGTGATCAAAGACGTTCAAATTTGTGCACAAAATTCGATTTCCCCTTTCCCGTCGCTATTTGAAACGCAAATCGGAACTAGCTATAGATACTTCTCGCGCTAAAAGCACCAAACACGTGATGTGTGGTATCCAAAAGGCATTCGTTTTTGTTGTTTTTGGTTTCTATTATAGCTGTTATTTACGGCAACTGGTTTTATGGTCCAACCATGGATGACATAAGCCCTCATGATTAAGATAACAAGTACGTGGAAGAATAATGAGGCGTTCTCGGAGTTTTGGGTAAACAACTTCATACCAAGTGGACAGATTAGCAAACAACTTACTCCCATATCTGTAGCATTGAATTTCGATCAAGATACTGGCATTTTATAAAGAATTCGGGTGCTTTTGGAGTTTACTCGTTATCAGTGAATGAGGACACAGGCAGAAACAGTGAAAATCCGCATTCACACCACACCACACCATTTTGTGCACACAGAAAGGCTTGTGAAGTTGATGGGTCTTCCGCAAACCTCCACCCACCCAGTATTCACTTGTCTCATTCCGATATTTGGCACATTTGAACCAAATAGGATATTGGAAAAAGTAGATATTATGTGTATTTTTCAAGTTTAATTCATTTTTGGTACATGCCCTCCTTTTTATCCGAGTCGGGCGAATTAAGATGCGTTGAAGGAAAATGAAAATCGATCGGATCAGCTGCCTGGTGGTCGAGTGAGTGGTATGCTTGAGGTCCCGGATTCGATTTCCAGTTGAATCGATGGATTCGTACTGTAATGACCAGACCCAAACACGTCTAAATAGCTGTACAGTGCCATCTAGCTTTTCGCATGGTTAAATTACCCCATGATTAGATCCAGACCTCCCTACTCGCATGTAAAATCATGATGTATTAGGCAAGTAAGCCAAATCATAGAAAAAAGTCTTGTTCACTGCATTGTGCTCTATTCAAAGTCTTTGATTGTCTAATTCCACGAATCTCTGATCTTCCTGCGAAAATTCAAAATGTCTATTGAACTCCCCGGTGGTGTGACAGCAGTTTAAATCGAATTCAAATAAACGCCACTTGGAGGACGAACCTGTTTATCGGGAAATCAGAGCATAATGATGAAGTAGTTTTTCATACGTATCACGAATGTCAGACGACGTCCCATTTCCGGTTTGTGCTACATGCTATCCTGTTTTCTCGCTCTCAGACAGTATTCGAAACCCCCGTCTCGCACGTGCATCCCCCAAAACGTGCCAGCTGAACCTGTTCTGTTTTGTTTAGTCTAACCAATGGAGCAGTTTATCGCGTTTGTTCACTTTGTGCTATCAAATGCAATCCGTATTCGAACCAACTGTTGATTACTGTTCACCGCGTGCTATTTCAAATTTTAATCTACAATCCTGTTGAGTCTTCCATTGCTCTCCAATAGAAAAAAATAACTGTCCAAAAAGTGGGTCGAGGGCGTAATTAAAAGCGACACGTTATCTCACGACGCTCCGACGGGGGGGGGGGAGGTACGAGAGCTTCTGAATGGTATCGTGTATTGCGTGATCGGGTCCTTCATTGTGTACTGCTACTGCCTTGCCTTATTCCGTACAGCTTATCACCTGCGCACGCCCACACGTCCTAAATGAACAGAATGTATAAGTGAACAAGGCTCAATGATCAGTTAGCGGTTAGGGTGTTTCCAAAGTGAACGATAACGTCGTTTACGGAATTTACTGGCGACACTTTGTCCACTATTTCTTGTTTTTGTAAACAAATAGATGAATGAACAATATAGTAGTTATTCAATCAGTTTGTTTGACAAATCCGGACTCCGTTCAAAACGCACGCCACGATTTGTTTGATTTATCGATCGAAACTTCTGGGAATTAAACTGGTTTTTGTTGGAGACTTGATTTCGAAACTATACTACTCGCCTAGTGAACGGGGTATGGCTAAAGAGTAGGTGTCAACTTCCAAAAAAAAACTGTATTATGAACTTCACCGTTTGTTTGACTCCTTAAATACTGCGTTTACAATTCGAAAACATACGTCTGAGGTGAGCAAATTAGTCTCACTTACCGGTAACGAAAGCTTGGGCAAAACTGGCAAATCATCATCCGCCGATAACGCATTGTCTTTACCAAGTGAA